TCGTGATATTAATAATCACACCCTGGAATTAAGCGACGAAGACTTACAGAATAAGGCATTATATCATCTACAATCAATTCTTTGTCGGAATGGCAAGAATCTTACAGATTTTCCACATATGCCCACTCCAACTATAAATCTGACAGCATTTTGTGATAACTACCTCATTCAAGAAGAGCAGCAATATGATATGCTTACATTTGCTCGGCAAGCTGATAGTAACAAATCACAACTAAACTCTGATCAACTTGCTGTATTTAACGCAGTTATACAAGCTATAGAAAATAACATTTCTGCTTCTTTCTTTGTGGATGGACCCGGGGGAACTGGCAAAACTTTTTTATATAATGTTTTGCTAGCTAAGGTTCGTGGTGATGGTCATATTGCCCTTGCTGTTGCCTCTTCTGGAATTGCCGCTCTTCTGCTTATAGGTGGTCACACAGCACACTCCCGGTTTAAAATCCCTATTAATTTGAACGAAAACTCCACTTGCTTAATTTCTCATCAAATGGATATTGCTGTTCTCCTTAAAAAAGCTCGACTTATTATCTGGGATGAAGCCCCAATGATGCATCGATATGCCTTCGAAGCCATTGATCGAACACTTCGAGATCTGATGAAAACAATTGATGCATCTTCAGAATATAAACCCTTTGGAGGAAAGGTCTTTGTATTTGGAGGTGATTTCCGTCAGATATTACCAGTTGTACCAAAGGCTAGACGTGAAAGCATTGTAGATGCCTGTTTCCAACAGTCTCATCTCTGGAGACATATAAGAGTAATGTTTTTAAAGATAAATATGCACCTACTTCAAAATGCGAAAGCTCCAGATGTTACTGCTCAACAAGATTTTGCTAATTGGTTATTGCAGCTTGGAGAGGGACGTATTCCAATGGTTAAAAAAGGAGAAAATATAATCAAGCTACCTATAGATATTGTTTTACCATCTCAGGATATTCAAGACCTAATTAACTTTGTATACGCTGATCTTGCTGCTCTGCATAATAATTTCGACTATCTGGTAAACCGAGGAATTCTAGCACCTAGAAATGATGATGTAGATATTATTAATAATACAATTATGCACACATTTCCAGGAGAGACAATAACATACCTTAGTGCGGATTCACTTTGTGAAGAAGCTGATAATAGTCAGATTCATCTTTATCCAATTGAATTTTTAAATTCTGTGAATGTGGGAAACCTGCCTGCTCACAAGCTTTCTCTCAAAGTTGGTACTCCTATTATGTTAATACGTAACTTAAATGCTGCTGAAGGTCTCTGCAATGGAACTCGACTAATCTGTCATAAATTTCAGCAACATGTTATTGAGGCTAAGGTTATTACCGGCACACATATTGGAAATCATGTGTTTCTCCCTCGCATTACTCTTACCTCTTCCAATTTAGATTTGCCTTTCATTCTTAAACGTCGTCAGTTTCCTGTACGTCCTGCCTTTGCCATGACCATTAACAAGGCTCAAGGTCAAACTCTCTCATGTGTAGGTCTATATTTATTATATTTATCCAATCCCGTGTTCTCTCATGGTCAATTATATGTAGCCTGTTCAAGAGTAACATCGCGAGAGCAGCTAAAAATCTTAATCTCTGAAAGAAAAGAGGTATTATTCACAGATTCTAATTGTACTAAGAATATTGTATATCCGGAGGTTCTTGGCAATATCTTATAATCCACTCTATAACTACTCAACAAAAAGTATTCAAATATCTTAAATATACTATAAAAAAATCATATAAAAATAATTTTAATAATATGAGATGTATATATTAAGACAGTTTAATTTATTAGCTAGCGTACTATTTTATAAAAATAGATTTTTTCACAAAGGTACAAACAAAGGAAGATCGATATTAGAAATACTAATTCCGTTCATGATAAAATATAATTTTTTGATTTAACCAGAATTATATAAATTCAGCCAGCATTATAATGATTGCAAATCTAAAGATTTAATACCAGCCAGCATTAACTTTCTTCAAAATTCTAATCAACGTGTTTTTGTTACCGTTACGTAAGTAACGGGTATTATACT